ATTGATTGAAAAATTTCTGCTTTTGAAAGGAAATAAGAATCAAACCAGGCCAGATTTGGAGAATAGAATTGATAGGCGCTAGTAGAGCGGTATGCAAATGCTTTCTTTTTCATTTGTCCATTGCCCGACTATCTACGAGTCTTGGAAAACAATGATTTTCGTCGTTAAACTAAATTTTTTCTTCTGCCATTTCCGCCATCAAACGATCTGAACGATTTTAATGTTTCCCTTCAAGCATTGGCTTATTGTTCGACGATCTTGAATCACAGCCTGCAGTAGAGTTGTTTCCATACGTTCGTAGATGTGTGTTGTGCCCGACCTATAAGTAAAGATCTTTTATATCCGCCTTAGTGGCCGAGTAGGCAAGAGTCTCGACTAGCAACTCAATGGCCTTAGATGCTAGTGCTTTAAGACTTTAGTCTTAGAATTTATTCTCTGACTAAATGTATAATAATAATAATATCTCTTATATACGTAGTTGTAATTGTACATTGCATTAATAATAATTGAATTAGGTAAACGTATATTAATATCAATTAGCAAATTTATTCAATTGACACAATTATTTTGAAAATTCTATGAAACTGATGTCATATCCATTTTAGGCAGTTTTGATCCCTTTGGGTATACTGCAATTGGCCATGCATGAAATTTCGAATCATCATCATAGTGATAAGCCCAAAGCTTGTCTGTTATTATATGCAGACACACAATAAACAGGTGTGTTCAGGTGAAAACGATGAAAGTAGTTATGAGAAAGCTTCTTTCTATTTAGAATTCCGCGAATACGGCAGCCCTGTTTCGATCGGAGTAAGTTGTCTTGCTTTGATCCTTACACGCATAAACGCAGTTAATAGGCACTCTGCCAAGGTCATACCATCGGTGCATGGCTTCTTGAGAATAGAATATCGGAAGGAAAAGGCAAAAACTGAGTACCACGCCTGTAGTAGTTACATTTCCTGCCAGCTGTAGCATTTTCTGCATGGCCGAGCAAATCCTTGCATAACCTTTCGTTTATGAAATGAACTTTTTTTCTTTCTTTTTTCTTTACAACCTTATGAACTTTGGGCCCTACTGACGCTGAATGCTTTAAAGTATGCATTCACTTTGAATAGTACCTTCTCTTCATACAAACATAAGTATATTTTACTTTACAATATATTCTAATTCTTGTGAAACAATTTTATCGGTTACGTTAGAATTTTAAATTTTGTTTTTTTTCTTTCTATAAAGTATTTGAATACTGAATAGTTGGGGCACGGTTTAGTCATTCAGTTGGAATGCTTGCATATCCTTCGCGAGAGTCCAACACAAGTAGGTCGTGCGAACATCTAAAACTGGCAGCAACAATACTTTGGCTGCTATCAATGCCATTTATACTTCATATCACAGACTTTTTGTGAATAGCTTTATAGTATAATAAAAATATATTAAATCTTAAATATTAGTTCAGTGAATCAATAAATAAACTTAACCTTCTGACAGTGCGATGCTCTTCGCATTATTTGTTATAAGAAGTAAGCAATTTTTTTATTAATTTTTGGCCTAACAATGAACCGATTAGACACCTGTCTGTTTTGCGATTTTACTTAATCCTCATAAATTATTTTATGAATTTGTTATCCTAATTTGCTGATAGAAAGTGATTGATGATATGATTTTAAAATATTTTGTTTCTTCGTTTCGAATATTTCTGCAAAAATTCATTAGTTTTATTGTATGTTTTTCTATCGGAAGAATTTAAATGGCAAACGAACAAAGTAATGGTTCCAAAATGCTATTTAACATATTACTCAATAAGTTTGTCGGATAAGATATCGATGTCAGCACTATTGACGAATTCATATGACCTTCAGATGAGGCCGACTTTCAAAGGGTTTGTCAAAATTTTTTACAAAATCACAATCGTCGGCAGTTAGCCTACGTCTTTATTGAGTGTTATATGTTACACATATGTAACGCTCTTCTAATTGATATGTCGTTGTGTCACAAACGGAATGAAAAATCTAATCTAATGTACGCGGCAATGGCGGTTTATAAAATATAACAAATAGTTTACGCCTGCCTGTCAAACATTCTTCGTAATGTATATAAATCTTTGATTTGCTTATTAAATTTGACATTGTTTTGAAAAAATGCATAAAATTGCTATACACGGAATACATATCATTGTTAATAAATTTCCGCTTGAAAATTTTCTTAAGTAAGATTTTTGTAATATCATTGCCACACAATTGAAAACGGGTCACGTTCTTCTATATATATATATAAATATATTTATATATGTTTATGTGCGTATGCATTCAAGTAAAGTTAAATGAATGAATGCTTTACACGCAAATTAAATATTCATTGTTAAAGAGCTAATGAATAATTTGATCATTTATCAATGTCGGTTAAGTTAAATGAAAGTGTAGCACTTGTTAAAAGCATTACATAAATTAACTTATTTTTTTTTGTTTCTTTTTCCATTTTTTCTCTTTTTTTTTTCGTTTAAATAAATTCCTAATTCCAAGTTCGAATGTCAAATGTAAACGTTATAAAATGTTCTCTCATCTTTCAAGTGCTAAAAAAGCCATTTTATTATTAACTTTTAATACAATTCAGTTTAACTAATAATAATGATTTGCATGTCACATTATGCTAAATAAGTAAAATAGATAAGCGAGAAAATCAAAAAAATAAATAAATAAATAAATAAAGACGTTATTCGTAGCGGCGTTAATGTTTTGTCTTGACTTATTAAGTCAATTGCACTTAAATTCAAAGATTCTAGTTATACACCCAGAACACGAGTTACTATGATTAAGGTGTTGCTTTATTGTCTTTTTCAAAAATAACAATAAACAAGCGTACATATGGATGGGTGGAATACTCAACACCAAAAGCCGACATGCATGACTTGGATGCGAATAAAAAACAAAAAAAAAAACGCAAAACATGTGTACAAACAAAAGGTCATAAACGTTGCGCAATGATGTTAGAACCGAAAAAGCAAAGATAACAAACAAGAAAGTTATATTCGCTATAAGATGAATCTTCAATCACAGCCCCCCCCCCCGCTCCCCCCCCCTTAGATATAAAATTTTAAAGTTTTCCATTAATTTTGTATAATGTATGACTTAAATAATCGGCTGAGATTTTTTTTATTAAATGTCTCAACGTTTCTTCTTCTTTCTTATTAGTTCTTTTACAGTCGAAGCTAACTCCTTGTAAGATAAATAAGCCAGGATTTCGTATTTTTTTCAGCCAAAAGTCTTCTCTTACAATAAAGAGTTACATACATAAAGAGTTTGCCTTCACACATGCATTGATTGGTAGAGAAGTCCCTAAGTACTATTTCGCAATTCTCTTGCAAACGCAAAAACGTCCCGCAAGCTTTGCGATCGTTCGAATCGACTTGTCTTCTTAAGATATAGTAGCAGCGACTTTTATCTGTCATTTTTTATATCTAGTGTGGTGTAAATTCACGCTCAATCCTTCTACTACTGAACTCTCCTCCTTTTACAATTAAAATTTTTCATTATCTCTTGCTAAAATTTAAGAAAGGCTTTCCAGTCTAGTGGAGACGCGTTTTGAGACATTTATTCTGAATAACTAGTGTTATACTTTGCAAGAAGGTTACGAAGAACGGAATTTTTCCTTGGTTGGAAAATTTTTTTTCTTTAAAAGACATAATCCCGGGGGTAGTCTCATCTCAGTGGCCATTCCGGCCGTCCTTGCCTTCGTTATTTAAATTCCTCACTAGCATAAAAATGCTATTATCTCCTAATAACGGTATAATTCAAGTTCCTTTTTATGTCACTAACTAAAGTACATAGTTCGAATAATGGAGAGAGAGAATGTAGCGGCTAAAAATTACAATTTAAATGCCTATGTTTAATTAAAACGATCTATCGTCGATGGTCCGTCGAACGGAATGGACGGTCTTCGTTCGGAGAGTCCCTAATTCGGTATCTAAAGCGTGCAATCTCAGCGGATGATGGCGACAGACGGTGATATGTTACCCATTTGGCTGTTCGATCCAGAAGCAAAAGGATGTGCAATCTTCTTCGCCACTCTGCCTCTATTCGAAATCGAATTGGTTAGTCGATCACATTCGAAGTACGTCAGCTAACTTATTTCAAATGTGATATTCTTGTTCCATTCAGTTCTGGCAGCGTCTCTATGATAGTCGCAAGAGAATAACAAATTGCTTGCTATGAAAGAAAATTTGTGGAAAGTAAATATATAGGAGTAACTTACAATTGCATGTAGGATTCAAACAAGTCCTACGACTTTCTTCCTCACAAGGTCTGTAAAGGTTTGTAAAAAGATCTCGATGAAATGACTTCATTTCGGTTCAGAGGGTAGACGGTACTCTTATTCCTTTAGTAAGGTACACTTTGTCGGCCAAAGCTCATGCGGATTTAGTAACAGCATTTCGTTCATGTAGCTGTTTTATGAATACATAAACGATTGATATTTATTACCCTTTCGTACCACCTTCCGTAAGTCATTTTAGTCATTCTTAAATTGAACATAAAGAATAAAAATTAAATGAAGAAAATTCTGTGATTAGATATGCATCGAATAAATAGTGCGTTAGGTTTATACGATATGAGCGTCACCTTAAACATAAGTGTTTCACAAAACTGCATGTACTGTAGGAATAGTTTGTCACACTTTTCTGTTTATTATATCTTCAAAACTATTTGTGTTAGTAGGTTTCCTAATCCAACGGAGCATTTATCCAAGAAATTTTGGAGAAATACTGATTGATTAATGCCATTGATTGGGTAAAGTCATTGCCAAAGATGAACTCATGTAATTCTTTCGTATAGTCAGAATATAAATCAGCACAGGCCGTGACGACTACGAGAAGTGCATCTAAGAATTTTTCCGATAATTTTTTAAGTTTTATCCCTTCATATAAATAAAAATTTGTAGAAAAAAATTGATTATGTAATTAAATTACGATTTCGTTTTTCTTTATTTATTTATTTATTTATTTTTTGCAGAAGAATTTCCCGAAGAGGATTCGGACATGTTGATGGAACCTAATGATTTTTCTCCAATAACCATTTTGAGATCTCAAGAGCGTCAATACCATGAACTACCAACAAGTCATTTTCGCCCTTTACTTGTAAATACGCGACATATAGCCCGAGCAGATGTAACTAATCCGACACGATTGAATTCGCCGGACTCGCATAGTCAGGCAGCACAAAACTATTATCCACCGTTCTTTCGTGAAGCTCCTCCTTTGGGTCATTCACGACCTTATTTTTCTTTAACCGACGGTGGAGCCTTGGTACCGAAATTTGCAGAAATACGACCCAATGATGGTAATTTAGTTGCCCATCAGCGATCGCTGGGCTACGATCAAAGTGTTTTAGGTTCGGGAGATTTCGGTGTCATTAGAGGCGGTACTTTTTATCCCGAAGAAGAAATACCATATCATAATGAGGATAGCATTGATTTCGTGCAAAAATACACATATCCCGAAGAACAATTTGCTCATTTCAGGGATTTCGCTGATATTAATACACCGGTCGATTCGGCCTTTTCACAATTTGTGGTTGTGTATCAAGCAAAGAATTCGACCGCAAATAATGGAAAAATACAATCACATCCGAAAAATATATTCGAACAATTGGAATTGTTGGATAAAGAGAAGGCAGCCGAACAGACTAAGCTAAAGAAGATTAGCCAACCGAGTAAAACAAAAACGAAATTAGCTAAAACTAAGATGGAACAGAAAAAGTACAAGAAAAAATCGATGGCTAAAGACGTCGAAGACGAGCCGCTATTGGCTTTAAGTTAAGACAGAAAATCAGTTTATATGAATTAATTTATTAATTTTAAAGTAATAAATTTTTCATCGTCATCACTTTCATTAATATTACACAAGTTGCAACAATCGAAATATAATAATAGCAAAAAAAAAAAAAAAAGAAATTGAAAATTACTCCCAGCTATTGTTTAGAGCAGAGATAATCATTTTCGTTTGAGAACTGCCACCATATACATACATATATACATATCCAAAAAAAAAAAAAAAAAAAGGGGAAAAAAAAAAAAAAAAAAAAAGTTTAATTCATACATGATTTCACCGTCTTTTCTTTTCACACACAAACACCCAAATACACATACAGACACACACATATATATATACATGCATACGTATGCATAGATGCATATATATATATATATATATATATATATATATATATTTTCCTACACATTACACTATTCATACCCTCACAGCAATTGTATTTAAATTTTTTTACATTTTCATTTGCAGCATACGTGTGAGAAGAAAGAAAACACTTTCGTTTTTCATTGCGTTTTATTTACGTTTTTTCTTTTTTTTTTTTCTTTTATTTATGTACATTTTACCTTTTTTTTTGTTTTTTTTTTTTAAATTTTTCTCTTCTTAATTTTTCACTTATATCTGCTTTCCTGAGTTTCTATCCAAGCCCATAATACTCATTGTTGCTTAAATTTAGTTTTACTTTGTAGTTTTTTTTTTGTTTTTTTTGTTTTTTTGTTTTTTGCTTTTACATTTAAATCGAAAATGAGAAGGATTTTGATATTTTTCTTTAAATTACTTAATTTATGCTTAAGAGAGAATTCGTCTATAAAAGAAATGTTTTTAATTAATATAATTCTAAAATAAATTATTATAAAAATGTTATCGGTTTGCTTTTTTTATATGTTTCGCCAAGAAATGCGTAAGTAAGAAATATTGGCAGGAGAGAGAAGTAAAGCTGTTTTTCTCTTTTCACAAATGATTGCCTAAATTGCGTTATTCTTTTTTGTCCGAAAATATGGTATAAATATATTAAAAAGTTCAGAAATTGAAAATGACTGCCGCGGTTGAATAGTTGTAAAAAAATAACACAATGGAAAAGATTAAAAAAAAAAAAAAAAAAAAATGGGGTAACATGGATCTCTGCCCAATGATTCAACCAAGATCTAATCTTCAAAATTAATAACAGGTAAGACATATTACTGATCGAAATTATTCTGTTCATGCAAAAACATTATTTATATATTGATATTTTCTTGTCCGAAAATATGAAAGTAGAGTTATTGTAAATAATATATATGCGCTGTGTAAGAGCAATAATTTCAGGCATAAAACTAAACAATTAAGGCACTAAGAGTATTAGGAAGAAAAAAGTAGTTTGACGATAACTTCATCGCGGACTCTTGATTTATGGCGAAATTACCAGCTCGCTATCTCTCTCTCTCTCTTTCTCTCTCTCTTTCTCTCTCACTCTCTCTCTCTCTCTAAGGAGGATGGTTGTACCTGCATTCATTATCGTCTTCGATAAAAAGTCTCAGTTGGTCGCCTAACTTTCAACCAATCCTTGATCGAAGTCACTTAATCACTTTGGTATTTTGCTTTTATGCAATATGCAATATGATAACCTCTGTACAAAAATCAGTGATCAAAGTAACGCCTTTCACAGCTGCTTGGAGACAAATTTAGTATAGCTGTGTTCGTTTTTTTTTTTTTTTTTCTTTATATAATTGGACAAAAACTTTGCCTCCAACTTTGCATGTTATAAATAATAATTATTTAAATAACTTGTGCGGTAATCGGTATTGCATAAGCTTGTGTGATTTCTAATATTCTTATACAACTTAATTACTAACTTGATCTAATTAATTAAACTCAAAAGACAACTATTTAAAGTCTATTATAATTTAATGCAACTAACTACTGATCAAGTTTAATTCTATGAGAGTTAACTAGAGACATAACACCAGGGGACTCAATCAAAAGTGAAAGAAGAAGTAAAAACAGGAAAGATATTGAATTTGGTTCAGACCGACACATATGATATGCAGCATCAATCTCTTATATATATATAAAAGAAAAAAAAAAAATTAAAAGCAATGATATAATAACAGGCTAGGGAAGTGAAGGTTAACTGTCGGATCGATTTATATGCACATACTAATGCATGCAATCTCATATGTATTCACTTTACAGAGAGTGTTTCGTCAAACCGATTTTCATTAATTCTGGATTGCATTGCCATTGCGTTTCCGGTCATTTGGGTTTCACGTGGATCATACATACTCCCTTAAGTTCTTCAGAGATTAAGTGAGTGAGCCTCTGAACGAAACCCATCTACATTACAATAAAAAATTCGATTTTTTGTATAATTTCTTTGAACTTTAAAATTGCATTGTCAAGGGCCGCATAGACAGCAAAGAATTGATTAAAGTAAAATTCAAAAGAAGCCACAAATCTTACGTTCAATCAAAGTATACGTATTAAACTTTGAATACGCATTACGAGATGTCTCAAGCGGAGTAAAAAAGTTTATCTACCTTTTTACATCTCGAATAAATTTAAAAAGTTTTTAATCTCCCTTAGCAACAACTGATCTCATTTAATACGATTATTGACTATCATAATAAATAGTGTCGTAACTTGATAGAAATTAATGCAAGTCTGCTTTCATTTAGAAACAAAGTTGTACAACTACCAATAATGTAAGTTCAATACCAACTAATATAAAAATTATATACGGCCATGGCCGAATCTTCTATACCCAATAACTTTTTGCTAAAAGATATTTAGGAAAAAAAATATGAAATTTCGATGATCTATAATATTGCGTGTGCATGGTCGCATTTCTATTACATTTGTTTCACTTTCAGTTATGATGATGAGCGGTAAACGCAATTGGCTTTTGAAAAGAAAGGCGTTCTTAGTTTACGTTGTGCCAAACTATGTGCAAGAACATTGAAGATTTTTTACAATCAAGAAAATGCTTGCAACCTACAAATAGTTAGAGAGACAAACAACCAGGCAGGCGTACGAACGGACAGAGCGACTGATCGGCAGATAAACATTTTTAGATCGAACCGGAATTTGTTATTGGCCGTTAATGTAAACATTGCTTAGGCATTGGAAAACTTCAGTCTGGATGTTGCAAACGTTCTAAGAAATCGAATATACCCCCGCCCGTATTCTTCGTTGGTGGGTATAAAAATATCCAACTATCTTAAAATGATTTTACCACCTCTTATGTAAATCTGATCGTTTTTCATTTTTATTAACAAAAACGCTCTGGCAATTCTCTTGTGTACACCGTCCTATTATTGTACAATCTTGGCCGTAACATTTAGTTTCTTTCAATAAAGAAAAAAGAAAAAAAGAAAAAAAAAAAAAATAAACGTGACCCTAATTGAAATTTATTGTTAATAAAACAAAATTCTGTGAATAATGTTCGGCATAAAATTAGTTGAACAAAAATTTCGTGAAATATCACTATCGCAGTTTGGAATTATGTGTGGGTTTTCGGCAGTTTGCAGATAAAGTGGCTAACCTTTTTAAAATAGTGCCATTATAGGCCGCATTCTGTCGTATAGGTTAGTTGAAAACCTTTTTTAAATTTTCGATTTTTTTTATTTCTATTTTTTTTTATTTTAATGTACAGATAAAAACAGCATTGAAAGAAGCTAAGAAGACAACTAACTGTGTTTTTATTGGAAACTTCGTTGCTCACCACTTTAAGCAAATGTGCGTAAATTGCAAAGAGTTTTTTTTTTTCGTTACAGGGCGTATACGATGAAGGAGAGTTATCATTGAAGAGAGAGAGAGTTATCTACTGTTGTATAGAATTTTTAAATGACCTCAATGTCAGCAGTAGATTTCGATCTGTCGAAAACAATCGTTTTTGATATTTGCACATGAAAATATTTCGAATTTCTTCATGTTTTAATTACGATCGATATGTTCATAGACAGATCAGGATATTTTCAAACTTTTTATCTGTCGGATTTCATTGCAAAATTTTTGTGCAAAATTCAGATTTTCTCACTGTCATGACGTTAAAGTCGTTACTGTCAAACTATGTAAGCCAGCGCAGGTCTGGTCTAACGAGCTCTCTACTTAGGACATTGCATTTGTGTCAAAAAGTTAGTCAGGTAGTAAGTGAATCACAACAAATGGATTCGAAAATTATCTGAGAGTTTTTACTTAAAGCAGTAAAGGTGGCAAAAAATGCTTGAATTAATGAACGAGCTTCCTCACGATCCGAGACAAAAAGCAAAATAAGCAAGCAAGCAAGTATGGCAGAAAGTGATACCGTAATCCCGTAAACTTGTGTTTCTATATTTGAAAATTAAAGATAAAGTGCCAACAGAATAATTTGCTGTACGCGTCAGGTCATACACGACCGATCTTAACCGTGTATCAAAAATTGGGAAACGTTGACATGGAGGTTATAACATACAGTCGCTTGGACAAGACAGTGCAAAAATTCCTAAATGTTATTCAAATAGATTCATGGGAAATCATTTTGTCAGACAGAACTTTTTTAAAGAGAAGGACGCAGGAAATTTTGGATATGTCCATTTATTAAGAATAAATAATTATCTAGTTATGGTCAAAAATTGAATAATTGACAATCGCTCAAAAATTATGATATTTAGATTCACTCACATATGGGCAGGGGTTTTCTAACAACGTACATGCGGATTAAGTGAATTTTTTTCATAGTTACTTAACTGCTTGCTGCAGGGCTCACGAAAACGATTGCGATGTTGCCATTTGTTAATATAATATTTTTCAACAGATATTATTATTATTTTTTACTTTAATAAATATATTTATAATGCTTAATAATTTTCCGGAATATTTCTCGAAATTATTCTATTACTTTTTCTTCTTTCGAACAACGCATGTAAAGAAAACAATTTTTTTTTTTTTTTTTTTTTTTTGCTAATAATGTGACGTCATCTCTTCAGAGTTTCCAGAATTCATACATTTTCCGAAATAATATTAAATTGTAAATCCAGCTAAGCATATCGGTCTCCTGTTCTTCAACTGGTTTAACTAATGCCAGCGATACGCGTTCTTTGAATAGAAAACAACTACGATATCGGCTTCAAAGTTTTCAAAAATATTTCAAAGTTCTTGTGCGCAAGCCGACATTAAAAATGGACAAATCGCAACTGGAAATAGAAACATCTGTGTCAACATCTTCATCAATTTGCTCATTGTTCGTAAACTACAAATGATAAGAATTTTGCCTTA